ACGAAGAACTAAAATCACTGCTGATAGCTAGGAACAGCACAGATCTCCCATTAAAATACACAAATAGATATGCAAGAAGAACGTTTGTTTATTTACCACTGAAAAAATAGGCAGATGAAATATTGCCCCTGAGCAAGACTTAAAAATAAGGCTTGTTTTAGCCATATCAACTGTCTGCATGAAGCCTGCTGACTTGCTTAACTATCCGTCTTAGGTTTCCAGTTTTGCTGTAATATTTTTTGAAGAACTTTAGAAACAACTTCCCACTTATCAGGAGTTATATTTCTACCTGCTCCACTGGACTGTCCAAGTATTCAGATTCTGAGCTGGTCATATGTCCTGTATCTTCACCAACAAAAGAATCTAAAGAAGATGTGCAAGAGCAAGCAGGCTGTGCTTTAGAGGTCTCTTCAGTTGGATTACAAATATCTGGAGCAGTATGTGGTCTTACAGAATGTAATGGCTGGCATGTGCTGTCTTCTGGAGCCTTTCCTAAATCACGCAGCGCCCTTTTTACAGCTTTTTCAAGATGCTTAAATAGTTCCATGTCTAAATCTTCTCTGTCTGTACAATGCTGAATATTAAGTCAAAAGTTACGTTAAATCAATATGAGCATTTAAAATTAAGAATATAAACAATTTCATAAAGGAGTATAACAACAGAAATGATCTTATATTGCCAATAAATTTAGTATGATTATACTCTATAAGCCAAATAATCTTTGAATCATTAAGACATACTACATATTCTTGCATACAGCATGTCCTGGAATAAAATATGCACCTTGTTTTTGAGAAGCAGAATGAAAAAATATCTTTCCCTGTAGTAAGTAACTGAATAGTAGCAGCTAGGTAGCTGAGTCTGCTCATTGATCTGTTCCCTGTGGATCAGATACAGAGTTGTTTTTTGCTTTTGAAGCTTTAGCGGCAGAAACTGATGTTGCCATATTTCCTCACCTATAATGTGCACCCCAATTTCCAGCAGCTGCTTTTTTTTAAAAAGGTGCATGTTTGTGAGAAAATAAGGTAAGCCTAAAACAATAACAACATAATCATTTATCCATAGCCCATGTTCCTCATTTATCTGTCTGTTTCTTCATGTCTCTTATAACCTCATTTTTGTGACAGTTTCATTATCAGTAGTAATAATTATTAATGGTATTATTGGTCCTAATAGTATTAATCATATGCATTTCCTCTGTCTTGGATGGGGGAGATAGAAGAGGGGCAGGCTGTGGCTGGGGCCCCAACCCAGGGTCAGAGCTGCAACCACTGCCCTGCTCTCCACCTCCCACCACCTGTCCTCTGCATGGCCTTCCCCACCCTGCCACCTGTCCCCCAGCCTTTCTGCTACTTTGAAGGTAGGGTGGTAAACTTCATCCAACTGAAGGACCTACTTGTGGTGAGGTTGCTCCTATAAAATAACACAATGTTGCAACTTCCAGAGAAAGGTGAGTATAGGGTGCCTCAAAACCCAAGCCCCAATTGCTTTGTGGGTACACCTTGGTTGGAGAAAGGGTAAGGGACATCACCCTGACAGAAATGCACCCTCACTGAAGGATTAGGCAGTCAGCAGCAGTTCTACTCTGTTGCTCTCTGTCAGAAGCTACAATCTTCAAGGCACTGAACATCTGGACTCTGGCCTTTGAATTCTGTCTCAGTGGTCTAAACAGGGATGGCTGGTCTTGGGCAGGCTTCACTCCTCCATACTCTCGCCTTGGCGTATGCATCGAAAGTCTGGATGTGATCACCTGACTATACCTCTTACGCATACACCATGATCCAGAGGATCAATGGTTGCCAACTATTCCAAAGGTATCATTAGATTTAAAGAAACAATATCCTAAATAGTCTGCCATCATACATAGAGTGATGTATGTTTTTATTTCAGACACAACTGAAGTGGAAAATTAGAAGTAAATAATATGTTTTCTTACAGATATGTTTTTCTTTGCACGCCAAGGTCTTGGAAAGGAACTCGGAGATGATTCTTCTTGAACCATGTTTGCAGAGCGCTTGAGCTGTTGTTCAGACATAGTGGCTGATGGTACCTTAATAGACTTGCTAAGCAATTTCTTTGATCTACCGTCATGCCTTTTTTCTTGCTCTGCTTTCTGTTTTGAGTTTTCTTTATTTAAAGTATAGGATAACATAGAACATTTTGAATCTTTCTTGGATCCTGAAACACCCAGTATGAAAGAAGCTGGTTCAGGATGTTTTTTGTGTTTTCCCTTTAAGCCTTCTTTAGACTTATTCAAATCAGTTTGTTTCTCCTCCTTAAATTGCATACCCATTACTACTTGTCCTTGATGTGGCACAGTACACTTTCTAGAAACTTTATTAATATGTTTTTTTTTACCTTTTGCTTTTCCACAAGACTTGTGTGGTGGTTTTCCTGCTCCCTCAGAGTCTGAACGTAAAAAGATAAATGTTGGAGGGCTTGCGGGAAAGGAGAACATTGACTTGGAGAGATATTCCTTAAGCTCTGTTTGGACTTCAGTATCATGAGAACTTAAAAAGGAAGTTGGGGCTACTGTTTCAGGTGTTCCTCTCAAAGAGTCATCAGAGTGCTTTGGTTTTAATGCTTTTTCAAAATCCAGTTTTGAATATGTTTTCTCTGTATTACTGAGACAACTTTGTAAAACTTGAGTTTCTCTTTCAAAACAATTTTTTCCTTTTTGTGGAAAGGTTCCTAAACTATTAGTTTGGGTTTCTTTGTTTAGATTAACCACTGCACACACCTGTTCTGAAATATTATCTACAGGAAGTTTACACTTCTCTTTTCTTAAAATGGGCTTTTCATTTATTATGGACATTTTATCAAGATTCTCTGCTGCATGATCTTGCCTGCTCTCAAATACATTTTTATCAGTTACTGTAAGTGGTTTCCCTTCACCATTTTTCAAAGATATATTCTGGTATGTGCTTTCTAATTCCACTGAAATATTTTCTACAGGAAGGTCTTGAAAGCTAGTGCTTAAAACAGATTTCAGACTTTTTACTTCTGTTTCAGAAAGCCTGTCTTTACAACCTTCTTTCATAATCTTGTTTAAGAGAGATTTCAGTTCTACAAGCTGTGTTTCTGAAAGTTTATCTTGAAGGTTTTTGGTTGAGAGAGATTTTGTTCTTAGACTTTGCTCTTCCTTGGGTAAATTTACCTCCATAGCATTTGACAGTCTTTCATTGGCTCTCAACACAAACAAACTCTGGTATATCTTTCTTAACTCTTCCTCTGTGATTACCCCTATTTCCGAGAATCTTTTTATAAGATGATTTTGGATCTTTTTGCTTAAAATTGACTTTAGATGCATGATTTCCCTTTGTGAGAGTGCCTCTAGTAGAAAGTCTTGTATATTTCCATTTAAAATAGGTCTTCCTTTTATTATATGTTGTTTAGCAAGACTTTCACTAGGACGAACTTGTCCTATATCAGGTAAATCTGTTTCTGTTACTCTAGGTTGTCTTTCTGCAATGTGGTGCAAGGAGTGGTTCTGTTGTACATTTTCTAACTCCTCCTCTGTAACTAATCTTGTCTCAGAGAGCTTCTCCTGGAGGCACTGATTTAAAAAAGTCTTTAGACTCATTATTTCTGTTTCCAAAAGTTTTTCTATGAAAGTATCTTGGAGAGTTTTGTCTGAAGCAGATTTTGAATTTATTTCTGATTTTGTAAGCCTTTGCTTGTGATGATCTTCCTCTCTCCTAGGTACCTCTGTCTCCAAATCCACTGGCAATCTTACTTTGATTATCTGCAATGACTCATTCTTTTGCTCTTTTCCTAACTTAATTTCTGTGTCCATCCCTCTTTCTGAGCAACTTTCTGACATATGGTCTTGTAGATTCTGACTTAGAGCAGATTCTATTTTTATTTTTTCTGTTTTGAAAGACTTCTTCTTAAAACATTTTGTCCTTTTCTCATCTATTGATTGTTTGTCTTTAAAAAACTGAGAAGTCAAATTTGGGCATTCATGCTCTAATTCAGTGACTTTTATTAATCCTGATTCTAAAAGTCTCTCATCTGGAAGATCCTGTAGGTTTTCACTTAAAGATTTTATTATTCTTATGTCTGTTTCTGAATACTGTTTTCCAGACTGATCTTTGCTTTTCTCAGATGACTCTGCCTCAAATTTTGGTTGTCTCTCATCATTGCTTAGCATTAAACCCAATTCTAAAAGCCTCTCTCTGGCAAAATCTTGCAGATTTTGTTTTAAAACAGGTTTCAGATCTACTACTTCAGGTTCTGAGGCTGTCTTTTCATAATTATGTGTTTTCTCATCTAAATCCATGTCCCCAACCATATCTTTTATTTCTTGAAATGGCAGATTCTGGTGCTGCTTCCCTAACTCCAAGTCTGTGATTATTCCTGTTTCAGAAAATCTCTCTATGAGACGATCCTGCAAGTTCTGACTTAAAACTGATTTTAAACTTATTGTGTCTGGTTCAGAAAGCCTGTAATAATTCTGTCCCTTTTCAAGTAAATCTCTCTCCAAAACAACTGGTGATCCATCCACAAAACGTTGTAGATTCTGGTACTCTTCCTCCAATTCTGTCTTTGTGTCTACCATTATTTCTGAAAGTCTCTCTGAGATCATCTCGCCAAGACTACTGCTTAATACAGATTTTAATGTTATTATATTTATAAGTCTGTCTACAAGAAAGTCTTCAAGAGCATTGTTTAAAAATATGTTTGGATGCATTATTTCTGTTTCTGAAAGTCTCTTCTCTTGCCATTTTTCAGGCAAATTTGTATTTATAGTCAACAATAATGGTTCTTTAACATTTAGTAAAGAAAGATCTTGCTGCTCCTCTTCTAATTTAATCTTTGATTCTATAAGTTGTAATATGGAAAGGCGCTGACAACTCTTGCTTAACTCAACATCTGAACTACTTGCTGCTTTTCTTGAAGGTGTTCCAATAGGTGGATCCTGGTCTTCTTCCTCTTTGACATCCGCACAGAGAAGTTTGTTTTCCAGAACACTGAAAATAGGTGCTTCCAGCCCAGCTTCTTTCCTTTCATATACAGTTGATTGTGTTCTACCTATATGTCTCAAAAAAGGTTCAAATTTGTCCCCACTAAGAACAGGTTGCTGGTACTGTAACATAAAATACAAATCAATTATGAGATTACTATTTTCCAGTGTTTTTCCCCAGGAGAAATTTCAGTAAAAATAATACTTAGCATGTGTACATAAATTAAATTAAAATATGATATTTGCATGAAGTAGATATTTATTCCAATTTTACAAATGATGACAGAAAAAGAAATTACCACTAACATTTTCAAACTTCAGTGCCTAAAGCTAGGCTCCCGAATTATTATTTATTCACCTACAATATTGGGTTCTGTCTTTAGTGGTGCTGAGCATCAGCAGCTAATTCCAGTAGGAACTATGTGTTCTCACTGTAACAGTTGCATAGCTCACCAGGCTGCAAGCCAAGTGGGTGAGCTGTTGTAGCAAAAATAGTTACTTTTCTCTATGTTTCTTTGT